AAGAACAAAAGGAATTATTTGTTTCTAGAGAAATCCCCTCCAGATTATGAACAGTTTGCAAAGTTTTGTTTCTAGAGAAATCCCATCCAGATTATGAACAGTTTGCAAAGTTTTCTTTTTTAGAAAGAGTAAAGTGAGTTGAGGTATCTTTCCGTGCCATTGCCAAAGAAACCATTTTTGAAATCCATGAGGACTAAACTTCTTTCAGAGTGGAAAATGGACTTGTGGAAAACATTTTGCTTCTATTGCCAGCCATATACAGCTGCAGCTCTAATGTCATCCTGGTAGTACAATGACTTAAAGAAAAACTGAGCTGGAAGAGAACTAATATGTTTTATTAGACAGCTGATATGATTGCAACAGGAAAGATGCATTTTGATACAGAGATTATTTTTAGGTCCCTAAGTCTCTAAAGCTGGATCTTTGGTGAACTTCTGTACTGTTGCAGAAAAGTTGGTGTGTTCAGAACCAATACTCAAAATAGTATTTTTTTTCTGTATATCCCACTATGATACTTCACGTACATTTAGTTTTAAAGTTTATAATGTGAGAAATAGAGCAAAGTGGTATACTTTAATATATATGAACTCAAGATGTAAGATATTTTTAAAAAAATCTTAACATTCTTTGACATCAATTTTTAAAAAAACTAATGCATTTCTATTTAAAGGTGGAGTGTTTAGTAAGAGGAAAAAACTAATAGAAGTGTAAGATTGTTTTAACCATCTCATGTAACAACTAGACTAAGGGGACTACATAAGGAACAGAAATTTTGTATCTATATGTTCTGACTTTCTGATTAAGTCTTGAACCTAGTGGTTAGTAGAAGTTAGGTGAGGACTTCTGCCAGGAGTTTTAATGCAGAGGAAGATTCAAGCATAACATGCAGTGTTTATGTTGCAAAAAACTTTGTTCAAGTAAGCTGCCATGCAAAAATATCCCAGTTTGCATTGAAGCTGCATGGAATTTGTGAGATTTTTGTGGAATCAGGGAAAAATATGTCTTTAAATTAAGAACTTCCCATGAAATGTTCTGTTTTTACTGACGCTTATGCTAGGGAGAGCTGTTAGAAATGACACACATCAGTTCTTATAGCTGTCTGTTCAAGGCTGTCTGTTTGGAGAAGTAACGCGTTTTCTTGCAAGACATTGCTTTGGCATCTAAATCTCAGTAACTGGTTCTGGTACTGGTAGCATAAGTCTGTTATGGCTGTTGACGTAACTCTTCATGAAATCTTCCTTTAGCAACATGAGCTGTCTCTTATTATTACTGACTTTTTCGGCTGCAAAGCGAGGAATGAATGGATCTACCGTTCCAAAGAATACCGTCAGAAAGTGCTGCGTGGATGGCGTTGATAAAATTTGGCTGTTTCTTTCCGATACATTTGAACTGGTGATTATAGTAGAACTGTTTCACTAAGAAAAGAATGAGCTTTGCGAAGAAAATACAGGGATTTTGAAGAAAGCATAAACCACTTATGGAGGTCAGAGTTAAACTTGAGTGGTTAGAATTGATGTGTTATTCACAGTGAAGTTCCATCATGAAAGGCTAGAGCAAGTTGACTGGTATATGTAAGAATTACTTTGCCAGACAGTGCACAATAGTCATTTGTGACAGTGTGATGTTGGGAGGTTAAAACAGTAGTTCTGCATCTCATGTCACATGCATGACAAATAAAAATGCTTCTTCTGGCTTCTCAATAATTATGCTACCTAAGCCAGCTAGAGCAAAAGTGGCATTGTTTTGGGACAGTCTCAAGTGTTAGTTTCCTCAGTCTTCTTTTTGAACAACACACGGTGTTTCTGGTCTGTATATTGTCTTTTGTGGTGGGTTTTTTTCTGTGCACAAGTTTTGTGTTTAAAGAGAAAAAGTTTGGTTTAGGCAGACAGAAGTAAATGCATGCTTCCGCGTGTCTTCTGAAAATTATTTAACTTTTTTGTTAGAAAGTTTTTTGAAAGTACAAAAATAGTGTGGCTGTTTTGCTGTAACAGTTACAGAACAGTAATGTAAACAGAACTTGAATAATTCTATTGTTGTCTAAAAATCTGGAAAAAGGTCTAATAGATTCCTCTCTCACAGGTCAGTATTTTCCCAGATAGACTGTTTTCTTTCAGCTCTAATAGGTAGAAATAAGCTCGTATAAAAAATCTGGTGGTTGGACCTCTTCAATGCCCTGTCTGAAGTGACTGGCTCTAGGAAGGAGGAGAACAAATCAGATTATTTCAGTGTGTTAGGATCCTTGCATTTACATGATTTTTGAGTGCTGCTTGACAAAAGTTCTTCCAGAGATGCAGCATATTTTTTCCCCTTCTGGTTAGTTTTCCTTTCCTACGTATAGAATCGATGAAGAAATTCATGTAGGGTTACAGGTTGAACTTCAGAAAGATAGTAACAAGTTGGATCAAAAGCATAGACTGGTTTCTGTAGGAGATGGGATGAAGTTAGTGAGTTATGCCTGGTCTGAAGAAGAAAGAGTGAAACAATTATTTTATATGCTACTCAGTGAATTAATATGAATTGGAGAAGATTGAGAAAAATCAATTGTGCATTGTCTTCTAGAAACTGTGTGATCCCCTGAACCTCAAGTTGTTGGAGAGTGGAGGACACTAAAGTGAAAGTATTTCTGCATTTTCTGACATTTTATATTTTCCTACAGTCACTGCTAGGGAGAGGATAATAAGCCTTGGTTTGATACAGCACAAGTGTATAATATTCTAAAAGAATGTAAAAGCCAGGAAACCTCCATGTTTAGTTTATATCCTGTATGAATTGTGTGAGACTTTCAGAAGAAAAAAAGCCCACAGCAACAAAATCAAATCCCACAAAATAACTACTAGGACTCAATAATAGATTTTTTTTTGAGTTCAGTACATTGAAACAAGCAAGATCAAAATTGCAAATGGAAATTTGGAAGAGTAATTAGAGTAACAGTTTTTTACTTAATTCTTTTTGCTTCTTGCATTTTTTTGTTCTGTATTTTAGTCTGCTGTATTGTAGAAAGACTGCTTGCTGCTAAATGCAATGTTTAAAATTCCCTAAGATTGTAAGGGATAAGCTACAAATATGGACTATCAGGCAAGCCCTGGAGATTTAGTTAATCTGACCTAGATGTTCTTTTGATGATTGAGACCTGCAGTATGTGAAAACACTTCTCAATTTCAAAATGAAACACAAGGATATCTGTTGTATAACTCAGCTGTCCTTGTAGTGACAGACACATCAATCATTTCTGAACAGGAAAGGATTTACTATAAAAAGTTTGCAGCTTTGGAGCTGTTGAGTTCATTGGCATTCGGATCAGCAATGATATTGGAAGTTGTAAGTGAATTCAGCATTTGAATTTTACCATGTCCTAAAGAGGATTAGCTACAAATGCAGGCAACATACTTTTTTCTTTTTCATTTTCAAGAGCCTGTTGTGTAAGATGTTAATTCTTGACTTAGTTTTTAGCATATTTTATGTGAAACTGCTTGGTAGCTCTGAAAAAAGCATGGAACAGATACCTATAAATATAAATAACTGGGGGATAAGGGGGAGAGAAAAAAACCCAAACAACTAATTGGAAAAAAACCCCAACATATATCTGGAAAGGAAAACTGTGTTTATATTACCACTTTTGAATTCTTGAAAAGCCACTATTTTTCTGTAACCTCTTGAGTAGAGACTATTTTTATAGTATGTGTAACCAGGTAGAGGAGATGCTCCATGTTGAGGAATGATGGGGTTAGTGTCTTTTTGCAAAACCTTACAATGACTGCATAAAATGCTTTGGTTGATTGGCAGGATTATATGGCCTAACATTTACTCTGCAGAACACAGTTTCCTATATATTTAGCAAACTTTAACAGGTTTGACTGAAGTTTTGCATGCTGATTTTCTGAGTTATGCTGAATTATTGCAGAAAGATGCAATGGTAATAATTCTGCACTTAGAGAATATGGGAAAAGGAAGTTATCTGTGTTTCAAAGAGAGAAGGTAAACTGGCTTTTTCAATGGTGATTGTTTCCACTGTTTGGGAGCTGAACCTTAATGAACCTAGCTCTTTGTTCAAAGTGGTGTTCAAGTTTTGGAAGTTGCACTTCACATTTAAACAGCAGAGATTTCTTAACAGCTAAAAGCCTTCAAGAGTCAAAACAACATGTTTCTCTGTAGGGATGAACAGACATTTCCTAGGAATTACTTTGAGCTATATTAATGTGAGTCTGGACACCTGAAATGAAAGCAGAGTCCTCTCTGTGAATGATCTTTGTGGTAAAACAAGATAGTATAAAGCATGTAAATCCAAGTAGTCTGTGGGAGGGGAGAAGGGTAAGAGGTAAAAATTATAGATGTTTTGCACACAGTTTTTTATCTGTGACTTTTCTTAGATGTGTTGGACATGAGTACTGGAATGCTTGTGAGATGTTTTCTTTAAGAATGTTGACCTTTCCTATCTTTATTTAAGAATTTATTTAAGTGGAGGAACTGCTATTTTGGTTATGGTTTGTGATGCTGAGAAGGCACAATGCGGTCATCTATACCAGGTGGAGTTTCAGGGTATTCTGTAGCTGTAGTCTGTTTGAAACAAGCATGGCTTTCTAGTTGCTAAGGTATTGTATTGCAGTGGTGTTGAATACAAACATTTCATCCCCAAGATGGTTTGGAAACATTTGGTGTAATTCTTTACCACGAGTAATACAAAGGATTGCTATGGGTAATAGCAATGATACCCTATTACTGTGGTAATAGAAATTATTTAACATTGGAGTTCATCTGAAGTGTATTTTAAATCAGCTCTCAGCAGTGTCCAACCAAAAAGGAGAATTGTCTTCTTGAGTGGCTGCAATTTTTGCATCTCCTAAGTGCAGCCTGACTTGATTATTTGTGACCTTGTAGTCTCATTTAGTTTTCAAAAAACAAGCAAAAGCTATAAACTTTTATTGCAAATACATGTATTATGTTTGCTTATCCATAGAATGTTCTATGTGAAATAATGTGTTTCTTGTGGAAATATTTTACAGACTCCTGGCTTGAGAGCACACTCTGGAAGATTACAGTGGTTTGCAAAAAGGTGTATAACAAATAATGAGGTATGTGACTCGTATGATGTGTTCTATGGAACTGTCATTATATTCCAAGAAAAATTGTTTCGAAATATTTCCTCGCTTGATTTTTATGTTTGTGAAAGGACATGTGACAGGCTGATGAGGTGAACTTAATGCTCTGTGTAAATGCTGGTGTTTACTTAAACAGAAATATTATTTTAGCTGAATGCACACAGCATGTATGTACACATAGATATATATAAATAATTGTTTGGCTGAGGTCTAACTGTGTTCTTCTTTCTTTTTAAAGATGGAGACTTTGGAACAGTTGGTACAATTGACTCAAAATCTATTTGAATGTGACAGAGATGAGATGTACTACTACCTTCTTCAACTGTGTGGTAAGTGAGCTTGAGATCTTTTCCATGTTGTAATCTGGTTTTGTTTGTGGTTGGAGATAACCCTGGAGGGGAGTTATATCTGGATAAGCAATTAACCTAAGTAGCATTTCTGAGGCATCTTGTGAAGGCTGGAGAGGTCAGCTTGTTTTTTTACCTGCAGACCTGAACACTTAAAAAGGGCTTAGATAGTACAAGTTTTCCAACTTGTGTTGCAATTTGAAAGTTAACTCTGCTTTGGTTTTTAATATGTCTGAACGAGAAGAAATGCTCATCTACTATCTTCATAGCTGATAAAAATTTGGGGACTCCTGTAATCGCATCTGGTTCTGAAAGGTGCAGATACTTTTAAATTTGCTAATTCTTCCCCAGCCACAACCTAATTTTTGCATCATGTATAGGAATGGAACAGTTCTTAAAACTGAGTTCATTTCTTCACTACTGACATAGTGTAGGATGTCTTTATAGTGGTTTTCATTCCTCTTTTCTGTCTTCAGTCTCTGCTGGTTTTGTTATTCAGTGTATCATACTGTATTATACGTAACAGAAGTTTTGGTGACTATATTGTGCTAAGTTCAGATACAGAGCACTGAGTAGTAATTTGGGACACAAAGCATTACAGGGTTTGCTATGTACTTCAGTAATGTATGTGTGTATATATAAATATATTAATGACTGGTGCATTATATATATACACAAA